TGCTTGGCGGAATATGGGTTACGATGTGAAAGCCATTGATGTCGATCGAACCAATGCTGCAATACATCATGTATTGTCTTTCCAATTTTCGAGAACTGAACCTTGTCTAGTTCGTATAAGGCAGCGAGCTGCATGACCTGAGCTCCAACATTGGCTTGCTGGTCGGCGTGGCAGCAATCCTGCTGGCCCAGCCAGGGGCGCTATGTCATCTCGGCGTCGTCTGCTCCAGCTTTGTATGGATAAATGCTGCAACACATCAGAGGAGCCCCTTCTTTCCGGAAGGTGACACCACCAGGCCGCACGTGGCTTTGGGGAACCGCCTCGTTGGTGTCACGGTGGCATTCGCCTTGCTGGCATGGTGGCGTGGATCTGTGTTCACGATTGAGAACCCGAAAGGTTCTCATATAGTCAACACGGTGCCCATGCAATATTTGATATCCTTCTTTAAGGACAGAGGTGGCCTGAGCCAGTATAGCATCAACCTGGGAAATTGGGGCGCCGATTCACTGAAGCCTGTGTGCATTCTGCTGATGATGTCACGGAAGCCCTCACGAGCTACACGTCCTTCACAAAGAGTGATCACTCCAGTCTGCCTGTGACCTGCAGGCATCTCGGTTTAGCTAGTGGCATTCCTGCATGGTGTCCTTGTTCCCCTGTATATATCGTCTACCCAACGAGGACTCATGATGTGAATGGAGTCGAACGAGTCACGGGCGGTCCGGGATTGAAGGCCAGTCAAGACTATCCCGTCGAGCACATGCCCGAGATTGCGTGACTGCTTAATCGTGCAGTTTAATCGTGCGGCCTAGATAGGATTGAATGCCAACCCAGGTTTGGGCGATGCATCGCGAACTGGTGGAAGATCCATCGCAGTCGCTTGCGATCCCTCGGGACCTTGCTGCATGGTATGAATCGGTGTGATCCGGATCGTGTTACATTAGACACGTGCAGGATGTCCCGTCGGATTGCCGCATTGGCTGCTTCTGGTGACATGGGCCTGCTCCAAATGAAGGATTGGGTGGCACGTCTACCCCTGAACTCTGCTGTGATAGAGTGTTGCCCTGGCCATGCTGACCGTAGGTTGGCATACTTCGGGCTGTTTCATATGACGATGTCGACTTGGAGCTGGCGGATACCCTCATGTACTGTCGACGTTTCCTGTGACCCGACTGCATTTGCTGCTTCGTATCATCCGTCACAAACAAGTTCCAATCAACCGTACAACGGAACGACCCGTTACCGACCCGTTACCGAAAGAAACGTCTATTACATAATAGAACAGGGCCACCCGTTACCCACCCGTTACGACCCGTTACCCCTTTTGAGCAACTTACCCTTCCTATCCATTCGAGTACATAACACACCAACCCGTTACCAATTGCCTTCATGGCATCTGTTGCTGTTGGTTGGATGTCGTCTCAGGATCCGATGGCTTGACGCTTGAATGCAACATCTGTCTGCGCTTGTGTCAAAACATTGGGCAGCGTAATTGCTGTTGTGAACATGATGCATTCTACGGGCTGTGCTTCGCTGCTGCATATATGGAGCTCCGATTGCCCACCTGCAGCTTTTGGTTTTCCTGTAGGGATCCCGTGCGTAGGGAGGCCCTTGCTTTGGGTCGTGCTTCGATCCTTGATGTCGGACATGTCCGACATTTTGTAATTTGACAGACAACTTGGCAAAGCCAGCTTAGCAACAAAACTCAAACATGTCCGACATCAGGGTGAAGTTGGAGCAGATGGACTCGGCCGAGAAAATCGGTCGAGTTGTGTGCCGGGGTTTGAAAGATGCCGAAGTGCATCCTGCTCCTCGGGCCAGCGAGACGCAGTGCATGGAGACCCAAGCAACGCTGGCGACGCAGGTGGGCTTGTTTCATGCGGCAGTCATGCGTGTCAGAACATGTGTACGTTGCTGGATGTGCATTTCTCTGTCAGGCTGACAACGATTACCTGGAAATGGATCTCGAAGATCTCATGGATGAAGCGGAAATGAAGGCCCGGTATCCTTTTGTCTGGACACCGCATGCATTGGACTCGTGATGTTAATTCAGCGCAGGAGATTTCAGAAGATGCCCAGCTTGATCCACTCAAGAAAGTCGAAATGATTTTCGAGATCGAAGAAGCGACCCAATTGCATTTGGTTGAATTAGGTGCTCTGCATGCAAGTCGTCCGGTCTTTCCGTAGAGGCAAGAAAGAAGCGACGAATGGAGGAAGAGGAATTCCTGCGGAACCGTGTGGTTTCCTTGAAGAAACAAATGGAGGTAGGATTTGCAGTTCGTAAGTGCCAACACCCTTAAAGTGTACGTCCGTGCGGGGTGGCTAAGTGCCAACGCCCGCATACTTTCGCCCTGAATCGTTGCTAGGACTAGGGTACGTCCGTGCGGGGTGGCTAAGTGCCAACGCCCACATACTTTCGCCCTGAATCATTGCTAGGACTAGTGTACGTCCGTGCGGGGTGGCAAGTGCCAACGCCCGCATACTTTCGCCCTGAATCGTTGCTAGGACTAGTGTACGTCCGTGCGGGGTGGCTAAGTGACAACGCCCACATACTTTCGCCCTGAATCATTGCTAGGACTAGTGTACGTCCGTGCGGGGTGGCAAGTGCCAACGCCCGCATACTTTCGCCCTGAATCATTGCTAGGAACAAGATGAGAAAGCCACAGCGAAGGCGGAAGAACAAAGGCTGAATGAGGAGATCCGAAAGAAGGAGGAGGAGGAAGCCAGGCGGAAGGAAGAAACACAAAGGCTCAGCGATGAGCTCAACGAGGAGATCCGCATGGGGATGGAGGAAAGCAGGCGTAGGGAAGAAGAAAACCGCCTGAGGGATGAGATCCGGAAGAAGCAGGAAGCCATGGAGGCAGAAGAAAAAAAACTGAAAGAGGAGATTCGACAGAAGGAGGAAGCCATGCGAAAGGCAGAGGAGCTGAAGGAGATCCGCAAGAAAGAGGAGGAGGAAGCCAGGCGGAAGGAAGAAGAAATGCTGAAGGAGAAGATCCGCCAGAAAGAGGAGGAGGAAGCCAAGATGAAGGCAGAAGAAGAAAGGCTGAACGAGGAGATCCGACAGAAGAAGAAAGGCTGAACGAGGAGATCCGACAGAAGGAGGAAGCCATGCGGAAGGCAGAGGAGCTGAATGAAGAGATACGCAAGAAAGAGGAGGAGGATGCCAGGCGGAAGGAAGAAGAAAGGCTGAAGGAGGAGATCCGCCAGAAAGAGGAGGATGCAAAGCGGAAGGCAAAAGAAGAAGAAAAGATGAAAGAGGAAATCCGCAGGACCAAGGAGCAGGAAGCGAAACGGATCGCAGACGAACAGAAGATTAAGGATGAGGAGTTCATGCAACGCAGAGCTGCTTTGGAACGACAGTTGGAGGATCTGCGTAAGAAGGAAGAATCCATGAGGATGAATAAAGCTGAGGAGGATGAGGAGGAATGCAAGAGACGCAAGGAAGAAGAAACGAAGAGAATGGAGGAGATGCAGAAAAAGGAGGAGGAAGACAACAGGCGCTGGGAAGAGATCATGAAGCAAGATCAGGAAAACCTCAGGCTTAAGAAGGAAGCAAAGGAAAAGGCCGAAGAAGAGATTAGGAAAAAAGAGGAGGAGGAAGCCAGGCGCAAGGAGGAAGAAAAAAAGGCCAAAGATGAGATCAGGAAAAAGGAGGAGGAGGAAACCAGGCGCAAGGAGGCAGAAGAAAAGGCCCAAGAAGAGATCAGGAAAAAAGAGGAGGAGGAGGAAGCCAAGCGGAAGGAGGAAGCAGAAAAGGCCCAAGAAGAGATCAGGAAAACAGAGGAGGAGGAGGAGGAGGAGGAGGAGGAAGCCAGGCGGAAGGAGGAAGCAGAAAACACCAGACAAAGACTCCGGAAGGAGATGGATGACTTGGAACGGCAGCTCCTGATGCTCCAGAAGGATCAGGAAGTCAAGTGCAAGGAGGGCCCAGAAAACACCAAGGATGAGACCAGGAAAAAAGAGGAGGAGGAAACCAGGCGCAAGGAGGCAGAAGAAAAGGCCCAAGAAGAGATCAGGAAAAAAGAGGAGGAGGAGGAGGAAGCCAGGCTCAAGAAAGAAAATGAAAAGGCCAAAGAGACTCCACTAGACCAGGCCGATCAATCCTAAACCTTAAATGTCCACAACCCTAAACCCTAGAAACCCTAAACCCTAACTTATTTAAACCCAACACGTGCGCTCTGATCCGATCTTCCCAAAACTCGCCCTAACCCCTAAACCTAAACCCTTATGAACCTCCCCAAACCCTTATAACCCCTAACCCCTATAAACCTTGTAAACCATTAGGCTAGAAACTGACAGGAGAAGAGATACGAAGACGAACGGGAGCGACTTCTGCTGGAGCTGGATCAACTGAAAGCGGAGAAGCAAGCACGTCAGGAGGAAATTCAGCGAAAACTGAATCTACAGTCCAAGATGGATTCAGAAACTGTGCAAGAAGCGATGGCGAAAGTCAGGGAGCAGCTCGACAAGCAAGCGGAGGACAAGAAAAAAATGGATGAGCTCGCCCGGCTGCGTCAGCAGTCACAGGCCCTGAGGTCCAGAGTGGATGACGAGGACGAAGTGAAGAAACAGTTGGGATGGACCAAAGGGAAGGAGGAGAAAACCGAGGAGCCCTCGTGTGAAGAGAAGAAGGATGAGAAGAAGGATGAGAAGAAAGAGGAAGAAGCAAAAAAAACTGTGGATCGGAAGCCGGCTTCCGAAGAGCCGCCGGTGCAAAAGCCTGCGTGCAACAGACGCCAGAGCGCGATGCTTCTGAATCGCCTGAGAAAAGGCAGGAAGCCCTGCCCGCTTCCCTGAGAGAGAAGCTTGCAAAAGAGGATGACGACTCCGTTTCGGACTTGATCAGTGAGCTCATAGAGCATGGGGGCGACTTGCAGGAGCTGTGCAGCAGCTACGAGCGGCAAGTCGTGAAGGAGGTCAGCAGCCAGGAGCTGACGAATTCAGCTCCCTACACGGAGCTGGAACTGATCCAGAAATACGGAGAGCGGGCGACAGATGTCATGAAAGAGAAGGAAGCCAGTGGAGATTGGGCCGAAGATCCAAACCTCCGAGGCTCCAAGATCTTCTACCTTTCCAAGACAGAGAGGACCACATGACATCATGCGACGTCTGAGAGTTTTGTTCATGCATGTTCTGTAGGTCTGCTGCATCTTAAAAGTGCTGCTGCTGCTGCCCGTGTCCTCTCGAAGGAACTGGGGGAGTTCCGACATCGATCGTTCCTTGGCCTGACTGATCCCATGCTGGACATGTGCCTTTAATTGTGTGTTTGTGACGTCAATCAGTCTCCCTCGAGAATCCCATAGCTTATTTCATGTTATCTCAGGCCAGATCGTGGGCGCCCGCACGAATGTTCATCGAGATGATTTGCCTGCTCTGAAAGATCTTATGCCACCTACCCAGATTTAGTGAGGGTTGCAGGTCCAATGCATTTGTGCACCACATGTTTTTTTTGCACATGTGCTACGGAGGCGGCCCGAACCGAGTGCTCTGAAACGACGGCTTGGACAGCCGTCATCGTCCTCGGCTCCCTCGCCTTCGCCTTCGGTGCCATCAACGCCTGCGACGGCCGATCCGAAGGGTGTGCCATCGGGAGAGAAGGATACCCGAGATCCGCCAGCACCCAAGAAGCCGAAGAAGAAGACGCTGGAAAACATGACTGTGCTCGACAAGGGCGAGGACCTGGCGAAGAAAGCCCTGGCTGGGTCTACGTTGGCTGCCAAGCTGAAGACGGAGATGGAAGCGAATCCCTACGGCAAGGACTTGCTGAAAGATCTGGCCAACGCCGAGAGCAACTTCAAGTGCCCCGCTCGCACTTATACTTTCTCTCGTAGGGAACTGTTTTCGATTCTGCCACATGTGTGCGTGGCGCATGTCACATGCCAGGAAATTGTACAACGATGTGAAGGCATTGTTGAGAGCCAAAGTGGAGGTGGAGGAGCAGTACCTCCCTTTCGGGAAGCAGTACGTGCTGCTGCTGCAAGATATGGA